GGAGAGTGGCTGGCCAACTACATCAGCCAATTCCCTCAGGACTCTGGGATGCATCTTGTCAGGTCCCATAAATATGTAAGTTCAGGTTCCTCGGGTGGTCACGAACCTGATCTTCTCTTACAGTGGGAGAGACTTTTCTCCCCCAGTCCCTGTCTTGCGGTTCATCCACTCACAAGGTGTGGCAAGAGAGTTTGCCAGTGAAGACTCAGGCAAAGAAGTTGTTGAGTATCTCAGCATTCTCTTCATCTGCTGTTACCAGTTTTCTAGTCTTGCTCATCAGGTGGGGTATACTTTCTTTGATCTTCCTTTTCTGGCTGACATACCTGTAAAGAAGCCTTTCTTATTATTCCTTACATCCCTTGCCAAGTTGTGCCTTGGCCTTCCTGACCCCATCCCTACACAACAGGGCAGCGTCCCTATATTCTTCCCAGGATACCTGTCCCTGCTTCCATTGCCTGTGCATTTCTTTGTTGCCCTTTGGTTTGTCCAGCAGGTCTCGACTTAGCCATGCTGGTCTCTTGCCTTCCTTTCCTGATTTCTTACACCTGGGTATCGAGAGCTCTTGCGCTCTATGGAAAGCATCCATAAAGATCTGCCAGCTCTGTTCTGCTCCTTTGTTCCTGAGGGCAGTTTCCCCAGGGTGTCCCATTGACTAACTCTCTGAAGAGCTGGAATTTTGCTTTCCTCAAATTCAGGGTCCTGACTTTACTCTTCGCCTGACCCATATCCCTCAGGACTGTGAACTCCACCAGTGCGCCATCACTGGAGCCCAGGCTGCCTCCAATCTTGATGTCGTCGATTTGCTCACTTGCGTTGGGGACCAGTATCGCACCCCCTCTGGTAGGGCTGTCTATTACCTGGCTTATGAAGTTATCCTCGATGTATTCCAGGAGTCTCCTGGATGGCCTACAGCTCACCGTGCTACTTTTCCAGCAGATGTCAGGGTGGTTGAAGTCCCCCAGCAGGACGAGAGCCTGTGAGCACAATGCCTCCTATAGCTGGAGTAGGAAGGCTTTGTCAATAGGCTCCCCTTGACCAGGTGGGCCTGTAGTAGACACCAACCGCAAGGTTCCCTTTGTTGCCTTAGACTCTGATTCTTACCCATAAGCTTTCAATCTGCTCATGGCTATTCCTCAGAGACAGCTCTTCATATTACCTCCATTTCTTGCTGTAAAGGGCAACGCCTCCACCCTTCCTTGCCTGTCCTTTCTGAACAGCCTGTAGGCATCGATAGCTGTACTCCAGTCATGGGAGTCATCCCACCAAGTTTCAGTAATGGCAACTAGGTCGTAAATTTGTTCTATGCATTTCTGGGAAAGGCTTGAGCTTAAGCTACATTTAATTCCTTCACTGTTGGAATTGGTCTCCCCTGTTCTTTATTTCCTTCCTCTTCCCTCTGCTCCTGAAAGGTTTCCTTGAGGAAGTTTTTCCTCTGGTTTGTTACAGCTTACACATTAGCTCATCCTTTTTTTTTTGTTTTATCCTTCCTTTCAACTGCAGAGGGTTGTGGTTTGTTTTTCATTTTCTTTTTGTAATACAGACATTTCAG